GCTGATTCACAAAGATATTCATTCTATGTGGTGGTCAGTTCACAGCAGCGACAATTTTATTTATTTTTTTTAAATTCAACATTCAAATAAATTATATTAGAATAACAACATTATAGGGCTGTTACTAGTCAAATTAAATCATTATCAACAAAATCCATCTTTGCAGTGCAGAGGTGTCAAGCGGCATTAATATATTAACAATTGCATAAATAATGCAATGCGATTTTATTCAATATTTAAATATGAAATTATTTCTAATTTGAAATTTAATTAAAGGGTATTTTAAATATAAAACTAAAACGTAAAACTGCCTGTAGGTGGTTCAGCATTCAGATACGTCCATGTCAAAATGTCATCCGGAATTTAAGACCATTCATAAGTAAAATAAGACTTTTTATAGCTTAAATTTTATTACCTTAAATTTTAAAAATCTAGTTTAAGACTTTAAGGATCCACGGGAACCCTGTTAACTGAGACTCGCCTAGACAGGCATTTTGACATAACTTTGGTGTGAGCCCTCACACAACCCCAAACTTTTGAAAGGTGGTATTATTTGTGAAAAACACCCAATTTGTGACCTACCTAAAGAGTGCCAATAGAGGGCGCCAAATAGGGGTGAAGAAGACTTCCTCTATGCTGGCCACACATTGGTCCTTAGAGACGGCAGTGTTGAGACATTCAAAAGACAGAAGACACAGAGACAGCAGGCGATCTGTTTCACACAAAGACAAATCCATTTACCATAGAGAATCAGCCAACTAGTACATTTCACAAAAGGACCTTTGACAAACACGTTTATGGTGGATTATGGCGTTGTTTACACCCTGACGCAGTATAAACGCATGATACAACCCTACAGATCCCACTGGCTATAACAGGGGATTTCCATGATTGCTGAACTCACGTTGTACATATCTAGAGTCACAACTAAGGCCTCAGTCACACAACAAACAAACATATATTTACCGATAGCATTGTGAATATCTTTGACGATGGTTTTCAAATGTCCCTTCAGAGCACGCTCCTCACGATCATGAATGTGAGACTCTAGGTCCATGTGTGTTGTGCCAAAGGTCACATCAGAGTCTGTATCATCTCCACTTTGAGAAGGAACCCAGTCCAGCTGAGTAAGAAACTTCTCCAGATCCTCAAAAGAGTTCTCCCTATCTGTGGAGGCCAGAGATGATGACTCGCGCAGTTCAGTTTCGGATTTAATGTCGCTTAAGTTGAGGTCGTGGGATGGTGAAGGGAGATAGAGGCATCAGATAAGCTGTGTGTCAGAGCAGATTTGAGTGAGCTCTGCTGCTGCTGTGAAGAGATATGACTGTCGAACAGGAGCAGGCTCTGGGCGCTGCGGGATGGCTTTAAGGGTAGCGAGCAACCAGGCACTGTGTCCAGAGGAACACACTGGCTCACTATGGGATACAGTCTGCTATACACATGATACTGAAGCTTCTTCAGCAACTTCATGACTGGGTGATCTGGGTAGCTGGGATCAAGAAAGACAAAAACAGATGACATTAGATACAGAAGAAACGCTCATTTATTTTTACAGATGACACCACGAACCTACCTGAGAAGACAGGAGATAAGACCTGTAACCAGTGTCGGATCATTTGGATTCATTTTCAGTTTAGCCTTCCAAATTTTTGGCCATTCCTATGATTAAACCAATGAAACCATTATTTATACATAATTGAGAAGAAATGTCAAAACTTGGGGTCGGCAAGGATGCCGTTCTTCCCATTACCTACAAACATTTCTTGAGCACCAAATCAATAAATTTATATTTACATGAAGGATCATGTGAGACTGAAGACTGGAGTGATGACTGCTGAAATTTTTTCTTGGTCATCACAGGAATAAATTACATTTTAAAATATATCAAAATTAGTGCTGTCAAATGATAAAAATATTTAATCGCAATTAATCGCATTAAAGTCATAGTTAACTTGCAATTAATCACACATTATCTATTTTAAATATCTCTTGATTCCTTTTTGTCCCATTATTTTAATCTTATCAACATGGAGAAGTGGATCGGCTTGCTTTGTGCAAATATTTTTTATTGAAAACAACATTGACATATACGGTGTTCAATTTCACACTAACATTCTCACTTGGAGCAAATAATCTCTCACACAATGTAACACTGTCCATCAATACAAGGGTGAAAGAAATACTGACGAGGTCCTGATATTGACAAACCGATGCACAAAGATACATAAAGTGTCTAAAACCAATCAACACAACAATATGAATATACTTACATGATCATGCTCATATTCAAGCACACTTGCATACAGAACTCGCTGCTCTTGTTCCTCAGGTGTAATGGTCCCACAGGTTGCAAACCGCCTGCAAAAGTGCAATTTCATGCATAGAAATTAACATTAAAATTCTAGAAAATTGAGCATTAAATGGCTTAAAGGAAGAAGAAACATAATATGCAAAACTCATAACACTCCATGTGCAATTTAACATTATGAATGTCCATCTGGCCCACGGGTCAAAAGCTGCTCACCTGTTGGCTTCTTCCTGCAGCCGAAGTCTCCTCTCCTCCATTTTCCTTTGAAGCTGCAAGCGCTCAGGAAAACTCCCAACAGTTTGAAAAATTACCACATTCAGAAAAATCAGAAGCAGCTAACTTTGCTCACAGCACATCGATTAAAGGGAAATGTCACCCAAAAAATGAAAATTCTGTCATTATTTACTCAACCTCATTATGCACCATGTTTGCGCTTTCAGTTCAGTTGAGCATCAGTTTATGTTCGCTGACACACGAGAATGAACTTTATTGGTTCTCGCATGTCATTCAAACCAGCTTGACCATCTGTTTAGCACAACTGATGTGTGAGTTGATCAATGTTTGTATGAGAACAAAAAATAAATTAAATCTAAATTAAATCTATTCATCATATAAAACTATTGTCTCTTAAAAAAACAAAACAAAAAGTTGCATAGCTGTCAATGGAGGGACAGAAAGCTCTCGGATTTCATCAAAAAAATAATAATTTTCCGAAGATCAACGAAAGTCTGGAGTTTGGAAAGAAATGAGGGTGAGAAATTAGTGACAATTTCCATTATTGTATAACCATATACATTGTTTAAACTAACATATTTTTGTATAAATGCTGTAGTGCTTTAACTTAAGCTTTCAGTAATTTGTTGAAATGATGTTACATTTTGAAAAGGATATTTCATGAATTGCAAGCAGTGTGTTTCAATTTTAAAACGTACACAGAGCTTTAACAGTGTGATTAATAGAAACCTCTGGTTTGCAGAGAAAGCACAAAAGGTCTAAGACCAGACCTTGAAATTGGCATTTAACAGAAATTTCTTCCCTATTGTGACGCATATTCAAGTGAAACGGATTTTTAATGAGAAAAAAAAATAATAATAATAATTGTAGCCAGTGAACACATTATCAGAGAAGAGGCTGCTACAAAGAGGATGGGTTAAAATTATCATTATTATTATTATTTAATGTGCATGGATAAAAGATTTATAATAGCACTGCAATATTATATAAAAAAACGAAGATTTGTCCATTTTTAGTTCATGGTGACTTTAATAAAAGCCACAGCCCAGGAAACCATAAAGGATACTGCATCTTGTCTTGCTTTGGCTATTATAAGATTCTCCATCATTTGCCTCTGAAGTGAGAGAGTCTGTATAAAGAAAAAAAATAAAGATTATTATACAAGTAATTATTTCAGTTTCAACTTTGATTATTGCCATTTAATCATTAGTAGAATAAAAGTTGAAGAAAGTTTCATGACTATAGTGCAGCATCCCACCAGATTTAACTGAGTTAAAACACTCACAGCAAACAGTGATCATTCAGTTTGCAGGGACATCCACTATAGCTATTAACAAAAACTAAACTATTTCTGTCCATAACTGTTCAACAGTTCGAACCTATTTGTAAATCACACTTTTGTTTTACTCTATAGATTTTATGCCAAATTAACTTTCAAATATATAAAAAAAGTATTGCCAATTAACAAATTAACCTAATGAAGTGAATCAATAATGGACTTTTAAAAGTAGACTTAGCAAAATGCGGTCAGTCAAAATTGTTTTAGATGGATCATGTCACAGCATGACATGTCATCTTTCCGTAACAATTTACAGTAAGGTCTCATTTGCTAGCATTAGTAAATGTTTAACTAACATGAACTATTTTTTTTAAC